TATAAGTAGTTTTAGTGATAGGTTACATATAATTTTTACTTCCTTTTTAAAATTTTTCTCCATGTTATCAGTGTTCTTCAATAAATACGTATTACTTTAATCTTAAACATACTAAAATATTTTATTCACCTAATGCAAATGCAGTCAATTCCATTCTGGGCTTGATCAGATTAATTGCTGAATGTGCATAGGGAAATGAGATTTCCCTAAAAACTAGGAACTAACCCTATCTGCAATTATAATGTAACGTCAAGGATCAACAAGAAATAGAGCTTAGTGGCTATTGTTTACTGAATAGTATAATAAGAATTATTCTGTAAAAAAATGTTTTGTGCTTGTAAGATTATAAAGCATTGCTGGTTATATGTTTTTAAATCTGTGATTTAAAATGTAAAGAAAATAAATTGAAGGTTTTATACAAAGGTGCTGATAAACATAATAAATTCTCCTTATTTAAAACAAAATATAGTAATTTTAATATAGTGTTTAACCAGGAAATGAAGTATTTAAACAAAGACAGCATTATTTGAGTGTGAAGAAATTGGAATTACTCATACATGCAGGGTCCCTTTTTATGGATGCCAACCATGTGCTTAGATACTTGAGTAGACATTCAGATGTCCTAGTGCCCTTGGATGTAAATGAGCTCTCTGTGGAGCCAGTGTGGGGAGCTGCTTCTCAGCTGAAGAATCCCTTCCAGAGCCTGAGTGTGCTAGCTCTGGACCCAGCCCTCCTGCCCAGTCAGTCCCTGCAGTATTCTCAGTTTCTTACCGACGCATATTTGGGCCCATCTAAATCCAAACCCTGAGAATTCACTGCTACCTGAAGTTCAGATGGTTCAGGAACAATTCTGCTCATGATGATCAGTTTCAATGTGTAAAATATTCTACAGAATACTTAATTACTTTGACTTTTACATTTTCATCATAATCTCTGTTACTTTGTTAGGATCAATTTTAGCATACACAGAGTACAGACAATTCTGCAGAGAATAGGAACTAAAGTGCTGAAATATGGAATTATCTTGTGAATGGTAACCCTGCCTTTCCTCTTTATTGACTAAGACTACTGTTTCCATACAGCAGACTAGACTAGAACTTTTCTTCCTTCTTTCTTTCTTTCTTTTTCTCTTTCTGTCTTTCTTTCATTCTTTCTCTTTCTCTCTTTCTTTCTCTCTCTCTTTCTTTCTTTCTGTCTTTCTTCTTTCCTTTTTTAGAAACAGGATCTCACTTTATCACCCAGACTGGAGTGCAGAGTTGTGATCACAGCTAACTAAGGCCTCAAACTCCTGGCCTCACGTGATCCTCCCACCTTGGCCTCCCGAAGTGTTGGAATTGCAGGCGTGAGCCACTGCACCAGGTCCTTTTCTCATTTTTCTTATACTTTTGTCTTAACATTATATAAATTAAATAGAAGAAAATAGATACACAAAGCATTATTTATTTAAACAAAACCAATAGCTTTTAACATTGTTATTTACAAGTGACTGTAATGTTCTATTTGTGACCTCAAAAATAGACCATTTTTCTTTTACTGATGGGATTAAAGCATTAGATACAGGAAACATGGGTGAGAAATGGATCAGAAATTCTTATAGTATACCACCTATTGACTAATTTTGTAATATTAAAGACAATATTTTAAAAAAGAAAAAAACTCACCCATCCCATCTGCCTAAACATTGTACTGTTGTTAGTTTTGCATTTTTCCCTGCCTACTTGTAGCCATACTGCACACTTGCAACCATATTATGCATGTGATACAGAATTCCGGGGTAGGCCGGGCACGGTGGCTCAAGCCTGTAATCCCAGCACTTTGGGAGGCCGAGGCGGGTGGATCACGAGGTCAGGAGATCGAGACTATCCTGGCTAACATGGTGAAACCCCGTCTCTACTAAAAATACAAAAAACTAGCTGGGCGTGTTGGCGGGCGCCTGTAGTCCCAGCTACTTGGGAGGCTGAGGCGGGAGAATGGCGTGAACCCAGGAGGCGGAGCTTGCAGTGAGCCGAGATCGCGCCACTGCACTCCAGCCTGGGAGACACAGCGAGACTCCGTCTCAAAAAAAAAAAAAAAAAAAAAGAATTCCGGGGTAGAAGGAAGATATCTCCACTTACCATTAATATAGCAAACATAGTTTCTTTATTACTGGAGTTTTTGTGTTGAAGATGTAAAAACTGGAAGGAATAAGGTGGCCTTCAGAAGTGATTATAATTATACCCATCTTTTAAACTAGTTACATTGGATACTTGTAATTTATATAATGTTTTCAAAGTCCACAATGCTGCACCAATTTCTCTCTTATATTAGTTTTATTCTAGGCCCATAAAAAATATACAGTGGAAAGTCCAATTTTCCAAGATGATAATGGCTGTTAAAGTGTTGGAGGTTCTCAAAGAGGGCTCATATTCTCTTTTTGCTTTTCCCTACAGTACCTGGCTTTCTGGAAAGCCTTGAAGAGGTTGACAATACTTGGGTATTGATAATGGTAGCATTGGTTACTCAAGAGCTAAATTTAAATCCAGCCTGTAGAGAGATCACCCAGACACCTCAAGGGTGGGCCTTGCCTTGCTCATGTTTAATCTAAACCTGAAGCAACCCTTGGTGGGTGGTGTAGTCTACCCATGGAGAAGCCTGTGGCCATACCTCTAGTTTGCTGCCGAACCTCTGCATAAAACCTACAGTGTTTACATTAAAACATGCTGCCGTCTATGGAGAACTCTTTAATAGTCAAGAGTAAGGAAAAAGAAGGGACATAAAAAAGTATTTAGTTTACTTATTACATGTTCAATATCAGTAGCATACCAGGTGCACCAGGAAAATAGAAGAAGCCTAAGATTTGTCCCTCTCCTCTAGTGTCTTAAAAGTCTTGCTCTGGAGGCAAAATATACCTATCACAACAGTAGAAGTAACAGTATTATGTGCATTCATTTGTGAGGTATATCCCAAGAGCTTTGTTGATTATGCTTGTTAAACATACCAAAGTTTGGGGATGATATAATTATAAAATTAGACTGATTCTGTTACACTTTAAGTCATTTGTATCCTGAAATGTACCTTCTTGAGTGGGAGGGTTTGGGAATTACAGCCAGCCTTGGAAATCGCATGTGAATTGAGTAAAGGGTATCATGGACATGCATGTCATTTGTCATCTGTGTGGCAGTAGATAAAGAAATCAGGAATTGCTGAGAGAGGGCACATAACTACGAAGATGAAATAAAGAGGATGACATTTCTGAGAAACAAGGCATCTGTTTCAGATGAACACTGGTCACTTCCTTGTAGTATGTCTCTGGAGTCTTCTGTCAACTATCTATTTGATAAGTAAATGATATCTAATAAGGAGGAAGCAAGTATAATAAATTAGACCATGCCACAAATGTTTTTTAAATGAGTGAAATCCAATTATTTTTATTGAGAATAAAGACCTTTAATGATTTCATATCACAATTCAAAAATATGGTAGAAATAAACAGCTCAAGTGGGATATGGAAATGGCATTTGGTTTTGACATAATGTATTATTAACCCAAAGTAACTGAATCAAGACTCATACATTAAGACCTTTTTCTTGAGTGTAAAGTACAAGTTAATAGTAATGTCCAAATGTTTGTAGCACCTGTGACTTTGAAATTCAGAGATGAAGCATTATGGATTAGTTTCTATGGTAACACTGTAACTAGAGGAAATCATAAATTCCTATGTGTGAAAAGAAGAAATAATAAGTATAAAAACCCCCTTAGAAGAATATTTTTAATCTAGCTATAAATAAGAAGTGACTCATCTGTATGCTATGCAAATTTAAAGTAGGTAAATTTAGAATTTTTTTTTCTTTTTTTGCTTTTACAAAGCTTTATACTTTAGGAGGGGAAGTGTAGTTATATATGAACAGTTCAGAAAATGTCTCTTTCAGAGCTGCCGTGGTGGAAATGTTCTGTATCTGCACTATCCAATACAGTAGCCACTAGCCACATGCAGCTATTGAACATTTGAAAAGTGGCTAGTGCAATTAAAAGAAGTGAATATTGTATTTTATTTAACTTTACTTAATTTCAATTTAAATACCCACCTGTGCCTAGTATCTGCCATATTGTTAAGGGAAAGGACTTAAAGTCAAATGTAGAGTAGTAGGTATGTCTTGCCAGATAGTTAATTCACTAATTGACTATCATTTTGTATTCCAGATTCTTTGGCTCTTACATGTTTCTAACTTGTTCTAGAAAGAGCCATTACCAGTCCTGATTTACCTTAGCTTTAAAACAATGTCATGTCTCTTTTACTTTAAAAAGTTGCCCTTGGCCAGGCGTAGTGGCTCACATCTGTAATCTCAGCACTTTGGGAAGCCAAGGCAGGAAGATTCCCTGAGGTCAGGAGCTCAAGACCAGCCTGGCCAACATGACGAAACCCCATCTCTGTTAAAAATACAAAAATTAGCTGGATGTGGTGCCACATGCCTGTAATCCCAGCTACTCAGGAGGCTGAGGCAGGAGAAGCGCTTGAACCTGGGAGGCAGAGGTTGCAGTAGCCGAGATCGCGCCACTGCACTCCAGCCTGGGCAACAGAGTGAGACTCTGTCTCTAAATAAATAAATAAATATTAATTAATTAATTAAAAGTTGCGCTAAATCTTAAAGTTTAAGCCCCAAAGTGCTAGTTTTAGGAGACAGCAACATTATGGATGCTGTTTACTCTGAGGGTAAGCCCATCATACATGTTTTACATTTTAAAATTAAATATGATGCTGAAATGTTTGGGGTGAAATGTACTGATGTCTACAAGTTACTTTGAAATGCATGAAAAAATAAAATGAATTCATGGATGGATAGATGGTAGATATGTGAGAAAGGAGCTACCGCAAAATGTAAACAATATTGGGTGTTCATTGTACAATTCTTTCAGCTTTTCTGAAGTTATCTTAATAAAATGTTCAGGGATAGTTAAATGTAAGCATACTAAATATTTTTAAAGTATTTTTTTCTTGGATCTATCACTTCTGTATTAAATAGAGCCAAGGAGCAATAACTGAACGTTTAAGAAGCTTCAGTATGCATGATTTAACAGCTATCCAAGGTGATGAGCCTGTGGGACAAAGACCATACCAACCTCTACCAGAAGCAAAAAAGAAAAGTAAACCAGCCCCCAGTGAATCAGCAGGTGTGCTTATTTGTTTTAATATATGGTTCTTTTACATGGACACAGGGAGGGGAACAACACACACTGGGGCCTGTCAGGGGGTGGGGGACAAGGAGAGGAGGGAGAGCATTAGGACAAATACCTAATGCATGCGGGGCTTAAAACCTGGATAATGGGTTGATGGGTGCAGCAAACCACCATGGCACATGTATACCTATGTAACAAACCTGCACATTCTGCACATGGATCCTGGAACTTACAGTAAAATTATATATAAAGTGTATATATATATATGATTCTTCCATAATTGGGCTTGTAGATACTAAAATGATACATGATAACTATCTGAATTTAGGTAGAAAAAATTTACTTCTAAGCTTGTATTTTTTACTTTTACATTTAATCATAGTTCTTTTCCTCTGAATTTTTTCTAAATTAGTACTTGCTAGGCCAGGCGCAGTGGCTCAGGCTGGGTGCAGTGGCTCACACCATAAATCCCAGCACTTTGGGAGGCTGAGGCGAGTGGATCATGAGGTTAGGAGTTCAAGACCAGCCTGGCTAACATGATGAAACTCCGTCTCTACTAACAATACAAAAAAAATTAGCCGGGCATGGTGGCACATGCCTGTAATCCCAGCTACTTGGGAGGCTGAGGCAGGAGAATTGCTTGAACCCTGGAGGTGGAGGTTGCAGTGAGCTGAGATGGTGCCACTGCACTCCAGCCTGGGCAACAGAGTGAGACTTTGTCTCGGGAAAAAAAAAAAAAAAGATTAGTACTTGCCTTTTGCTGATTCTGGAGATCATCTACCTAACAAAGTAGGCTTTTTTGCTGCCATTAATTTTTAGAAGCTGTAGGTGTGGTTACCAATACCTTCTTACCACCAGCACTAGTTCTAACCTATAATAAATACTCTTTCTACTCAAACTGTGCACTGACATCTAAGGAGTTTTATAGTTGAACACTCTTTACTGTAAGTGCTGTGGACAAATAAGGATATTGACTCACAGATTAAAAGTTTTAAGCACGTGATAAAAGATGACTCAATTTAAAAATAAGATTACTCCCATGGAAAATGTGTTGAAATTACATATTCTAGTTCAAGAGCTAACTTGTAGGCATATTCTAGTATAAATTATGAACATGTCATAGTTAATATATTCTAAAACTTTAAAAAACTATCATGATCTTAGAAACATACATATAAATTAGACACGGTTCCTTAGTCATTTTATCACATATAATAAGAAAGTTTGAATTCAAAGGCAAGGCTGAGAACTAAGATTTTCAAGATATTCCTTATTAATGTGTTAAGTCCATAAGGTACAGGGCTATTTGACTTTTTATTTAAAAAAGAAGTTTTCTTTTGAGAGAGATTGAAAATCATCTTTATAATTAAAACCAATTTGAAAAAAAAAAAAAAAAAAAACTGTTCCTCCTTAAAAAGGAAAAATACCTCTGCAAAAACAATTTTTTTTCTATTAGCCGAGCATGGTGGTACTCACCCAGCTACTTGGGAGGTAGATGGGAAAATCACTTGAGCCCAGAAGTCGAGGCTACAGTGAGCCATGATCACAGCACTGCACTCCAGACTAGGTGACAGAGCAAGACCCTTTCTCAGGAAAAAAGAAAAAATAATGAGCTTTCTTCCAAGAATGAATACGTTTACAAAGTTTTGACTATTATCTAAGAGGTAGTAATCAAGCATTGGCCATTGATTAAGGTAGCGATGCCTTTGAGAGCAAGGAACCATCAGTCTTATTAGTACATTAATCATGTAAAAGTAGTTCCTAATGTAGACATTTCCTTTTTTTATTTTTTTTGTTTTTGTTTTTGTTGTTTATATATTTTGAAATAGGATCTCACTCTGTCACTCAGGCTAGAGTGCAGTGGTACAATCTCTACTCACTGCAGCTTTGACTTCCCAGGTTCAAGTGATCCTGTCTCAGCCTCCCAGGAAGCTGGGACTACAGATATGCACCACCATTCCCTGCTAATTTTTCCATTTTTTGTAGAGACAGGGCTTCACCATGTTACCCAGACTGGCCTCAAACTCCTGGGCTCAAGCAGTCTGCATGTCTTGGCCTCCCAGAGTGCTGGGTGGGATTGCAGGCATGTGCCACACCACCTGACCTTGGCATTTCTTAATATGCATTTAAAATTAGGTGGTCAGGCACAGTGGCTCACGCCTGTAATGCTAGAGCTTTGGGAGGCCAAGGTGGGCGGATTCCCTGAGGTTAGGAGTTCGAGACCAGCCTGGCCAACATGGCGAAACCCTGTCTCCACCAAAAATACAAAAATTAGCCAGATGTGGTTGTGTATGCCTGGAGTCCCAGCTATCCGGGAGGCTGAGGCAGGAGAATTGCTTGAACCCAGGAGACAAAGGTTGCTGTGAGCTAAGATCACGCCACTGCACTCCAGCCTGAGTGACAGAGGGACACTCTACCTCAAAAAAAAAAAAATAGGTATATTGATTTTGATTATGGAATCTGCTGTATGTATTATATTTTGCTGATTTAGACCAGGTATCTTAGACCAGAGTCCTTTTTTAGCAGTTTATTCATAATCATACCCAAGGATTGGCTAAGAATTATGTTCTAATTAGGTAAATAAAAACAGGTTTATAAATATGAAAATTCATAATACTATTTTTATGGTGCTCACCTATCTTTTTTTTTTTTTTTTTTTGTGAGATGGAATCTATCTCTGTCACTCAGGCTGGTGTACAGTGGCACGATCTCGGCTCACTGCAACCTCCGCCTCCCAGGTTCATGAGATTCTCCTGCCTTAGCCTCCTGAGTATCTGGGATTACAGGTGTGCGCCACCACGCCTGGTTAATTTTTATATTTTTAGTAGAGACGGGGTTTCACCATGTTGGTCAGGCTGGTCTCGAACTCCTGACCTTGTGATCCGCCCACTTCAGCTTCCCAAAGTGCTGGGATTACGGGCATGAGCCATCGCACCCGGCCACCTACCAAATTTTATATCTATGACTAAAATATTTTAAAATATTGACTTGCTGTTTAGTTCTTAAATTTCAAATCATGAATTTAAATAAGTTTTATAAAAACGTGAAGTATGTGGTAGCAGTATGAGAAAGATATTTGTTCAGTTATGAAAGGTACTTGTTCAGAGTTATAAACTCTGTGCAGTTTCCAATTTTTCTACAGAATGGTATATATTCTGAGCCTTTCTTCCCTAAGGAAGCACTTTCATCAAAACTTTCTCTCTTGACCATATTTTTAACAAAGCAGTATGGTTCTAGGACCAGAATAGGTGAAGAGAAGTTAATAATAGATCGTCTAGATAGACACAAACCCAGGTGTACATGGAAATCTATCAAATGAGAAAGACAATCTTTCAAATTAGTGGAGGAAAGACAGATTATTTAATAAGTTATGCTAGGATAACTGCTAGACTGCTAGAAGATGGAGTAGAGAATGAAGTTATATCTCTGCCTCAAATCTTAGATCAAAATAAATTCTTAAAAGATTAAGATTTAAGTATAAAAAAATTAAACTATGTAGTAGGAAGTTCCTGTGAATTTTTTTATAATGTTAAGATAGATAAAATTTCTTAAGCATGATATCAAAACCAGAAACCATAATGGAATAGTTTTTGAGATTTTCCTACATAAAAATATATAAAATTATAATATGGGGGGAAAACATAAAAATGACAAACTACAAACTGTCAGAAATATTCCCATTATGTGTTACAGGCAAAGAGTTCAGATTCAACAATCCAGTAACCCTCACAAACCAATTATTGTCAATGCTACCAAAGAATACAATTGGTCAAGAAATATATGAAAGAGATTCTCAGCCTCAGATAATCAAAAAATAGCAATAATAATAATTTTCATTTGCCAGATTGGCAAAAAAAAAAAAATGTTTTTAATTAACAGTGCTCTGTGTTGGGAACTGTTTCAGTTATCTAGTTACCTATTGCTGCATAATAAGCCACCCCAAAACAGCAGCTTGAAACAATCATGGTCATTTATTTTGCCCACAGATCTGGGGGTGACTTGACTTGGCAAAGCAGTTCTTGCTCAGGGTCTCCTGCAGCTGTGGTCTGACAGCAGCTGGGCTAGAGTTATAATCTCAAAGAGAGCTCACACATCTGCTGTCTGAGCTGAAAAGAGTCAAGCAGCTGCTGGCTAGAATGGTTGGAGCCTCTCAGCCATCTCCCTCTATGTTCTCTCCATGTGGTCTCTAAGGGTGGTTGGATTTCTTACCTGGCAGCTGAAGCCTCCCAGGCCAGTGTGCCCAGAGAAACTTGCAGAAGTCCTAGAAGCAGCATCACTTCCGTCACATGTTTTGTGGCGATTTGTTGAGGCAAGTACAAAGGCCTCTGAAATGTTAAGGGAAGGGAAGAGGAATGTCAGAGAATCTGTAGACATGTTTTAAAACCACTACAGCAAGCCTGTTGAGAAACACTCAGGCACTTTTTATGAGTTTAAAATGGAATAATCCTTTTGGATGACAATCTGGCAGTAATCATCATAATTTATTCCCTTTAGCTCAGCAAGAAACTTTTAAGAATATGTCATAAGGAAATAATCAGACAAGTGTTCAAATATGCATGTACAACAATGTTCATCTCGTTGTTTATAATAACAAATATTGGAATGAACGAAATGCCTAGGAGAAATGATTAAGCAAAAGGTGGTTTATTAGCTGTGAAACATAACAATGTCAATCTATACTTAATGATATGAAAACATATCCAGATTGTAGGGAAAAAACAATAATAAGTAGATGATGAAATGGATTAATATACCTAATTTGTTTAATGTATATACATAAGAGAAAGTTTGGAAGGGTATTACTAAAATGGTAACAGTGTTTAGCCCTGAGTAGTGAGCTTTTTTGTTTGTTGTTGTTTTTTAAATTAACCTATTAATCTTAAAATCAGAAGTAAATCAGAAGTACTCTCCTTTAAAAAAAAAAAAGTTATTCATTTTCAGGTTTTAAGTTAAACAGAAAATGTTTTTTTTTTTTTTAAATATATTAATGGAGATGGGATCTCAGTATGTTGCCCAAGCTGGTCTCAAACTCCTCAGTTCAAGTGATCTTCCCACCTCTGCTCCCCAAAGTGCTAGGATTACAGGCATGAGTCACCAAGCCCAGCCAGAAAATGTATATTTTAATGAAAATATTTGACTTGATTCTAGTGTCTCCACTCTCTTTGATTCAAGGATTGGTTAATAAATTGCTAAATTAAACTTTTTTTTTTTTTTTTCTGAGGTGGAATCTCACTCTGTCGCCCAGGCTGGAGTGCAGTGGCGCGATCTCAGCTCACTGCAGCCTCCACCTCCCAGGTTCAAGCGATTCTCTGCCCCAGCCTCCCAAGTAGCTGGGATTACAGGCACGTGCCATCACACCCAGCTAATTTTTGTATTTTTAAGTAGAGATGGAGTTTTGCCATATTGGCCAGGCTAGTCTCAAACTACTGGCCTCAAGTCATCCACCCGCCTCAGCCTCCCAAAGTGCTGGGATTACAGGCGTGAGCCACCGCACCTGGCCTAAACTTGTTAATTTCATTTCCCAATAAATACTAATTTTGGCTCCTTGCTGTGTCCTCACTCTCTGTGGACTCTGTCATTTCTGACCTGCTATACTAAGTAACCTCCCCAGTTAGGCTCCCTGCCCTCAGCCGTATCCATTTCTGATTCATTTTCCAAAGTGCAAGAAGAATATTTTACACAACCCAAGTCTAATCATGTTACTCTTCTGCTTAAAACATTTCAGTACTTTCCCCGAGCCTCCAGGGGCTTCACTGCTCTCTGATGAAGTCCAAACTAGATAGCATGGTATATTAACTCCCCAGCCTTGTTCTCCCATTCCATCAAGTGCTAGTCATACAGAATCATGACTCTTTGAGGATTTAGCTTAGCCACCACCTCCTACAAGGCCTTCTCTCATAACCCACCCTTTCCAACCCACCCCATGCTGATTACATTCTCTTACTGTATGCCCCCCCAGCACCTTATCATTAGCTTATAGCATTTATTACAGTATCATAATGCCCATTGCATTCTGTTTCCCCTATTGGACCCTAAATTTTTTGAGGGTAGAAAAAGACAGCTATGTCTTTTTCATCTTTGTATCCTCATAATTCTGCACACTGCCTTATTCATAATATAATTTTAAAAATACTTGGAGTAATGAATCAATCCATCACTTTTCCTGAAGCTGTAATTAGAAAGCTAATAAGATTTTTTTTTAGCCGGAATTAGGAAAAAAGAAAAAAATAAGATGCATAATCAGCCTTTCAACGAAATTCCAATTCCTAATCATACAAAATGAGAGGCAATTAAAATAGCAAGGACTGTGTTTGTTGAACTGTGCTCTTATGCTACATTTGTGGCCTTAGAGAAATTGTTTATCACAGTTACTTCCTTTCTGACTTTTTCCTTGATTCCTCATTCTGTTTTACCATATTGGGATCAGGAATACTATATAAGCAACATCAATAGAAAAAAAAAAACTCTAGAAATGACAACCTAAACTTTAAACCTGGTTTGTTTTTCTCAATTATAAAATGAACATTTTTTAAAAATAAGAATTTGGCAAGTAAAAAAAGAAAAAATGAAAAAATTTAGAAACACCTAAAAGCTCATTTTCATGAGATATAATCGTCTCATTTATGTTTTTCCTTTGTTTGTTTCTATACGTACATTTTTTTTCCACACTTAATATTACTTCAGGAGCTTTTTCCTAGGACCACTGACCCATCCCCTTTCTGGTCACACTGGCCTCCTTGAAGTTCTACTAAGCAATCCCCAAGCCCTAGCTACTCTCCTCAGTGCCTCTGTGCATGCTGTCTCTTCTACCCAGAACATACACACTTCCTTGGACCAGCGCAAGAAAACAAAGGATCTTGGCCTAAATAATGACTGATTCCACTTCTAAATCTCCTCTGACTTCTAGCCTAGAAGTCTAAGAGCATAAAATTATACTTGACTAATATACAATTCAAGTTGCTTATTATGAGAGTAACAAGCTTATTCATGACTCTTTGTAGTTTTCTTTCTTTTTTTTTTTTTTTTTGAGACGGAGTCTCGCTCTGTCACCCAGGCTGGAGTGCAGTGGCCGGATCTCAGCTCACTGCAAGCTCCGCCTCCCGGGTTCATGCCATTCTGTGCCTCAGCCTCCAGAGTAGCTGGGACTACAGGCGCCCGCCACCTGGCCCGGCTAGTTTTTTGTATTTTTTAGTAGAGACGGGGTTTCACCGTGTTAGCCAGGATGGTCTCGATCTCCTGACCTCGTGATCCGCCCGTCTCGGCCTCCCAAAGTGCTGGGATTACAGGTGTGAGCCGCTGCGCCCGGCCTCTTTGTAGTTTTCTTAGTGATTCTCAAATTATTCATGTCTTAGAAGAGCAGACCAATAAACATGTATTCAATTTTTTTTAAATATGTATATTTTTTGAAACAGGCTATAACGCAGTGTCATGATCACAGCTCACTGCAGCCTTGACTCCCCAGGCTCGGGTGATCCTCCCACCTCAGCCTTTGGAGTAGCTAGGACTACAGGTGCACAACACCATGCCCAGCTAATTTTTGTATTTTTTCACCATGTTGCCCAGGCTGAAGAACTCCTAAGCTTAAGCGATCCACCTGACTTCCCAAAGTGCTGGCGTTACAAGCATGAGCCACCACCAAGCCCAGCCCAGTTTTATTTTTTATCACATGCATAGAATCTATCCCATGCCTTCTCCTGAGCCTGGAAATCCTTCTCCTTTTTTTTTTTTTTTTTTTTTTTTGGAGACGAAGTCTTGCTCTGTCACCCAAGCTGGAGTGCAGTGACACAATCTCCATTCACTGCAACCTCCACTTCCTGGGCTCAAGTGATTCTTCTGCCTCAGCCTCCCAAGTAGCTGGGATTACAGGCTCCTGCCACCACACCCAGCTAATTTCTGTATTTTTAATAGACTCGGGTGTTTCACCATGTTGGCCAGGCTGGTCTCGAATTCCTGACCTCAGGTGATCTGCCCACCTTGGCCTCCCAAAGTGCTGGAATTACAGGTGTGAGCCACTGCACCTGGCTGGAAGTCCTTCCACTTTCTCCTCACCTGAAGATTTAAGTATTTATGCTCCTTATCTTTGTTAAAGGAGAATTTATAACTTCATGGAGATTTCTTTTCTTTTTTTTTTTTTTTTTTTTTTTTTTTTTTTTTTTTTTTTTTTTTTTTGACATGGAGACTCGCTCTGTCATCCAGACTGGAGTGCAGTGGCGCGATCTCAGCTCACTGCAAACTCTGCCTCCCGGATTCACGCCATTATCCTGCCTCAGCCTCCCGAGCAGCTGGGACTACAGCTGCCTGCTACCACGCCTGGCTAATTTTTTTGTATTTTTAGTAGAGGTGGGGTTTCACCATATTAGCCAGGATGGTCTCGATCTCCTGACCTCATGATCTGCCCACCTTGGCCTCCCAAAGTACTGGGATTGCAGGCGTGAGCCACCGCGCCTGGCCACTTCATGGGGATTTCTAATCTCACCCCTTTCTCTATAACCTACTTAGTACTCTGGTTGCCTGAGACTTGGGCCCCTGTCTTGCTGTCTCCAGCATCCTCAGGCGGTGGTTCTCAAAGTATGGACCAGAGACCATGAGCACAAGCATTACCTGGGAACTGGTCAGAAATGCAGATTCTCAGCCCCACCTCAAATCTGCTGAATCAGAAGTTCTGGGGATGTCAGAACTTGTATTAACAGGTTCTCTAGGTACTCTAGCGTGCTCAAGTTTGAGAACCTTAGCTTCAGGGTTGAAAGAGTTTTATCCTTGAGGCCAAGCCTCAAGATGCTCTCATACTTCCTGACAATAAACATCCTGACTGTGTGGATGTTTGCATATTGGCCCATAGTAAGTCTTTATAGCTACACGTAACAGCCTTCTAGCATACTCGCATAATCTCTCATTGCTCTGCCTGATTCTATTTTGTTTGACTAATATCTGTCACATAGTCTGTGGTACTTCTAATTACTGCAGCCTACCTGGCTGAGTTTTATCTCAACAACTGCAACAGCAGCTAACATCCTCATCCTCATCACCTGCCCCCGGTGACCTTATTTTGCCCAAAGTTCTAGCCCCCTGGGGTCTTCCTCAACACCTTAAGTAAACCCTACCATTCCCAGTCTTGACAAAAGATGACACGTAGAAGGGAAAAGCCTTAATTCCTAATTCAAGGCAAAAGTGCAAATGACAGACTAAAACACAAATGCTTGGGTTGAATTCATGAAGAGGAGAAAAGGTGGGAAGAGACTTTTTGCTCTACATCTATTTATAGTCTCGAACTTTTTAACAAGATGATGTGTTACCTACTCAAAAATAAATTATTTTATAATTATTTTTTAAAATGCATAGTAAAAATAAGAATGATCAGGGAAAATTTCCTGGAGGAAATGAGTTATGAGTTTCACCTGGAATAGTGCAAGAGGCAAAGCTTAATGATAAAGGGCACGCAGCACATTCCAGATGCAAAAAGAGTAACTGGGGGAAATGCAAACCATACAAAGAACTGTACACAGATGGGGCAAAGAGCCAGCACTGACTGGTGTCCTTTTACCAAAACATGCTGTTTTTGACAACTTGTTTAGGTTATGGAATTCCACTGAAAGATGGAGATGAGAAAACAGATGAGGAAGCAGACGGGCCATATTCAGATGATGAGATGTTAACACACAAAGGACTTCGAAGATCACAAAGCATGAAATCTGTGAAAACCACCAAAGGCCGCAGAGAGGTTAGTTAAGTGTAGAGCTGTTTTCCTAATGATTAAACGATTTCTCTGCTGCATTATCATTTAGAGTATTAATGATCCATAAATGAAGGATTGGAATGGTAGAACAGCAGTTTGATGATTTTTTTTTTTTAACTTTTTTGAGGATAGAGCTTTTTTGCTCTGTCAACCAAATTGAAGTGCAGTGTGGCGTAATCACAGTTCACTGCAGCCTCAAATTCCTGGGCTCAAGCAGTCCTCCCACCTCAGTCTCCCAAGTAGCTGGAACTACAGGCACACGCCACCACACCTGGCTAATTTTTTCATTGTTTGTAGACAGGGTTTCACCATGTTGCCCAGGCTGGTCTCCAACACCTGGCCTCAAGCAATCCTCTCGCTTCTGCCTCTCCAAGTACTGGGATTCCAGGCGTGAGCCATCTCACCTGGCCAGCAGTTTATTTTATTTATTTATTTTTTTTTTTTTGAGACAGAGTCTCGCTCTGTCGCCCAGGCTGGAGTGCAGTGTCCCGATCTCAGCTCACTGCAAGCTCTGCCTCCTGGGTTTACGCCATTCTCCTGCCTCAGCCTCCCGAGTAGCTGGGACTACAGGCGGCCGCCACTTCGCCCGGCAACTGTTTTGTATTTTTTAGTAGAGACAGGGTGTTCACCGTGGTAGCCAGGATGTTCTCGATCTCCTGACCTCGTGAACCGCCTGTCTCGGCCTCCCAAAGGACTGGGATTACAGGCTTGAGCCACTGCGCCCAGCCTATATTTAAAATTCTTTATTCAGATCGATGTTTCAGGATATCAGGAAATTTTTAAAATAGTAAGCTCTTGATCTTCCGCTATAAGTAGAAAATGGCATTCTCATTTAGCAAAATAGTTCAAATACCCAGTCCCAGAACTATGCATAAACAAAGAAAGCATCGAACAAAATTAACCACACAGTTTTGCTTTCAACTAATGCTACATGAAGATTAAATAGTAAACAGTTAACCATAATAACATACTGTCTTTGTACCGAGAAAGCAGTGGAGAACTGTGAATGGCTTCTGACCATTATAATCAATGTTCATTGACATTGTACTAAGCAAAACATAAATAATAGGATTAATGTTTTTATGTTACATTAGCGTTTTTATGTTATTAGTAATAATAATCTGTAACATATATCTAAATAGTGCCAACTACATTTTTATGAGCTGATAGGTAGTGCTGTCTTATACTCATTTATTAGGATAATTTATTCTTTATATCAAAAAGGTAAAAAAATTGCTATGAACTATTAAATCTGACGTAATTTTTAAAGTAATCATCTAATTCTTTTTTTTTTTTTTATCTAATTCTTAACAATAAAACATTTCTCTCTTCAGGTACGGTACGGGTCACTGAAATATAAAGTGAAGAAGCGACCACAAGTGTATTTTTAGTCATCTACACTTCAAATATCCTAAGACAGATTATGCTAAATACATCGACTTCATCTTCTAACATGATATATTCAGGATTTACACATTAAAATGATTATTTAAATTGTGGCAGTGATGGGATTTACTTTCATGAATTTAAATCGTTTTTATTTCTTTAACAATTGCTTCCAAATATTGACTACTAAAGGCAGTTCTGCAAGATGTACTAATATGTATATTAGAAATTATAGAAAACCATGTTGTCCATTTTCAAATTCATCAACAGCATAGAATGCCTGAGATATAAGATGAAACACAAATCCACAGTATACTTGAAAGGAGTCTTTTTATGGTTCAGGATAAATCAGCCTTTGTGATGTACTGTGTTTACTCCCTTTTGTGTTATATCTGATAATTAAATAGGCCCCAGATCCAGCAGTGACATAATAAGGATATAATGTAAGATAATAAAGTATGTTTTATATATTCTTTAAATTTTTACTTGTATAATACTTTCTAGTTTTTCCACCATCAGCTGAAAGTTTTTGAAACAAATATTTGAAAACCAGGTATCCACACATAGCACTTTTATTCCTGACTAGTTTTGCACACTTGAAAATTGTTTACTTATTTTACAACTGTTTTACTGATGCTATCTTCATTGTTGTTTGCCGTATTCTGACATGTCAAATCTATGCCTTGAATTATATCATCCGTTTTCCTGTAGGTTTCATTTGTTAAATTCATTGGATTTTAATAATATAAAAGTATACCTAATTGTTCAGTTTTAACTATTTTTAATTATCTTCTTAACAAATAAGAAGTTGCTTTAATTAACCTATATTTAGCTATACAGAGTAGTTGAATTTAACATGTTTTTGTCAACACCAATTATGTTTTCAGCTTTTAAAAATGGTAGCTTTTGTGAAATAGAATCAGTGACCAGTATAGCACTTATATCCCTTCTAACTCATGCAATTTTTCTCAGCCAGTCCATTCACAAGCTTGGCATTGATATGTGCTGCTAGTTTATAAATTGGCTTTGACGAATATCATTTGAATCTCTTCTGGCTGAGATAATTTGCCAATGCAAAATACAGTTGTCATTAATCCTACACATTAAAAATTATTAGAAACATATTACTTTTTAACTGTAAATCTCAAAGAGATTTTGAGTTATCGAACTTTTAAGGCTTTTTTAGCTTGAACTGATAACTATGCATTATGAACCCTAAGTCAATATATTTTTGGTGGTAGTGATCAATAATCAAATTTGTACTTTTTATGCTTGTTCAGGTAATTTACTTGACTGTTCTATTTGTTTGTCCAAAAGATAAAATGATGAGAGAGATTTGAGAAATCTTTGATCTGTCTCCCTTTTAAGAAATGAAGCCAGCTGGTAATGTATATTCAGGACCTCCTCAGAGTATTGGCCAAGAATATAATGTTTACACAGAAGTACCTTGGTATAATGCATACATTGTCTCATGATAATAGTCATAAAATATTTTATGGATAATTTCACATTCTTCATATATAGCAATAAGTAAAATTAATTCAGTTTTTTTTCCCCCAAAGTTTAATTCTGAATAACTCGATCTACTTTACCCTAACTAATTTTTAGCCTCTTCGTTTCTGGAAGGACTCTAATTTGTATTCCAAATTCCTATGAATTCTAATTGTAAATTCTCTGAAGAGAGTTTTATTTATATGACCTGGTACTAGAATTCTTAATATAACTGTTACACTCTTCTTGTGTTTCCTACTCAGAGGCAGTATCATCTGAAGTTACCTAATAAGGTCATGTGAGTCAAGAACTTTATCTGTGGGAGCTGATTTGCACTTTTTTTTTTTTTTTTTTTTTAATTTGAGACGGAATCTTGCTCTGTCGCCGGGCTGGAGTGCAGTGGTGCGATCTTGGCTCACTGCAACCTCCGCCTCCCGGGTTCCAGCGATTCTCCTGTCTCAGCCGCCCGAGTAGCTGGGACTATAGGCATGTGCTACCACGCCCAGCTAATTTTTGTCTTTTTCGTAGAGAGGGGGTTTAACCATGTTGCCCAGGATGGTCTCCATCTCTTGACCTCATGATCTGCCCGCCTCGGCCTCCCAAAGTGCTGGGATTACAGGCGTGAGCCACCACACCCAGCCATTTTATCTCTTTAAAGTCTAGTCTCAGTATTAAACCTATTCTTTAGTAAACTCATATTACTGTTCTAAACTGAAGAAATTATTTATTCCTCTGTACTTCTAGACTCAAAATGCTTTATCAAAGATAGTCTCAAAGAGGAAGTACAAGTCCTGTTTAACTGTACTCTTTCACATTCACAGTGCTTCCTCTGATATCCTTCCTCACATCATTATACAGTTAATATCATTTTACTCTTCTTTCTCTTTTACATTTCTTAAATTTTGGTTCTTTTCCCTTACATGTGTTTTAGCGGGCCCTTTTCTTCGAACTTTGTCTAATTAGCCTATACATTTTTGTTTATTTTAAGATAGAACAAATCTTTTTTTGTTTCTCCTTTTAAGTCTATTGGTTTTAAAAGAGGTAAATGTATCCATAGACCACAGTGCCTTGCTTTTTCCTCTGCCAGCACATGGAGCACGGGCATTAGATGCACAAATCTATTTAGGGAACTATTTTGGTAGCTGTTTGAGTTTATCCAGAAATTGCAGCTGGTATTTTATTTTGCTGTACATTTACTCAACTTGTCCATTAGTATTTAACTATTTCCAGAGTTTGTTTAGAAGTAAGAATTGACCCATTCTTTAGTTTACCATATTTTTCCTGGTATGAAAAGGAGCCAGAAATAAGCCTTATTGCTAAATAATTAATTATGTAAGCCCACCTAGGTCCTGCATAAGATCCCCCTCACATCACAATATATATATATGTGTGTGTGTGTGTGTATTTGGCTAAAAAATTATACTGCCAATATTACTGATTATAAATACTTGACTACACTGATTGATGGGACAAAATGATTAAAGTATTTTCAGGGATTGTATTCCATATGTCACCACCAAAGATTTCTACAGTGTTATAAAGTATATAAATATTCCAAATTTCTGTGGTTAAATATTTTTTCTTTTTTTTCCTTTTTTAGAATAACCTAGTCTGCTTTACAAAAATGCTTGAACTTTTATGTTGTTAAGAAATATATAATGATATCTTACATTAAGCATGAGTCTAATTTGTATTTTTAATTGGAATGGACTAAATTTTCATTTGATTATCAGGAAAATTAAGGAGTTATATATTTAAAAGCAATTTTCTGTGTTTTCTTTGTAAGTTGACTCATTTGTGAAGCAATTAGGTAAATTTTGAGATCATTGTTATTGTGGTTTGTAGTATATATTTCTTAGTAAATATCACTTAAGATTAAATTTTTCAGAAAGAAAATTATAGCTTTTTTCCCAAAATATTTTTAAGATTTAATCTTTTTGTAGTATGCTACAGATTTAATGTGTATTAACTCTTTTTTAAGCTATTGACCATGACTTAACATTTTGTCTTCTAACACCTTTTAAATCTATGTACTTTAATAGTTAAGAGAAAATAAGTTTTCCAATTTTTAGTAATCTCTTTGTAAAGGCTATCTCTAAACCTAGTATGTGGGTAATTTTATAGGTGTGTTTTTTGATAACTTTAATATAAAATAAACTCATTTTATTTGTGGCAATTCACGTTTATTTTTTTATGTCACAGTACATATGAATTGGTATTACTTATTACTATGTGTTGATTAAATATATGCACACACTTAGGATTACAAATCACAGAGCAAATTATGAAAATCATAAACATTCTGGTATGGTCATCCATAGGATTATGAAAAAGAAATACTGAATTGTTAAATTTGGATGTTAGAAAGGGAAGATAGGAAAAACAATGAGTACAGAAATCCTCACCATCAATTTGGATTGGTTAGCTGTCTCAGGCATAAAATGTGACACAAAATTCAGATTTATGTATCCTGGAAATGTTCTGGGGTTCCATCTGTTTTAAAGTTAGACGTCTGTCTGCCTCACATTTAAGCTTTAGAGAGAAATCCTATGTTTTAAGAAGTTTCTTTGTGTTACTTCATTATGACACATAATATGTGTTAAAGTCTTTCTAGATAGCATTTTAAATGGAATTATTTTCATTTTTATTATGAGGTATATACTTGTAATGTTCTCAAGAGGTTACAAATATAAATAAAAATTCAAAAGAACACAATATATGAACAGCATTTTTTTTTTCAGTGTTTTAGTCTCCCTTTAAATCGTTCACTGTTCTTAAAAAAGAGATTCACAAAACAAACATCATGTCAGAGGCTGATGAATTGTTCCCTGGGAAAACATAGTACCCCTTTACCTACCCATCAGTATTTTAGTCTTAACACACTCTCCTTATGGTCTGTCTTTGGTAATGTTTTTTAAACTGCTTTTTATAAGACAATGCTTTGAATTGAAATTTTAAAGCACAGGATTGATAATTGTAAGTGTAAATTACTAAAGGACCGTGCTCAACAAAAGCAGGAAAGTCAACCATGTGTACTCTGTTTACCTTACAATCCCAGATTAAGAGAGAAAAAGGCAAGCATGTTATTTTGCCATTATGTGCAAATCAAATCAGCATCTATGTTTTTTAATTCAAAGATATCCATTGATTACCTATTTCTTATGAGAGCACTGTTAGGTTTCTGCACAATGCTTATATCCAAGTAAAGTAGCGTAGAATTAATTTAAGGGAAATAATTCTTGCTGTTAATAAAATGAATTCACCATTACCAACCAAATCAATGTTTGGATTATTTGAGTATTATTTGTTCTAGAATTTCTTCTTGGATACTGAATAATTCATGTGGTTCTCTCAGAGCAGCCGTTTTTGATTTTTAATTATTGGTTCCCTTCTCCTACCTCTTTTTTTTTTTTTTTTTTTTTTTGAGACGGAGTCTGGCTCTGTCTCCCAGGCTGAGTGCGGTGGTGCCATCTCGGCTCACTGCAAGCTCCGCCTCCCGGGTTCACGCCATTCTCCTGCCTCAGCCTCCCGAGTAGCTGGGACTACAGGCGCCCGCCACCACGCCCGGCTAATTTTTTGTATTTTTAATAGAGACAGGGTTTGACCGTGTTTGCCAGGATGGTCTCGATTTCCTGACCTCGTGATCCTCCCGTCTCGGCCTCCCAAAGTGCTGGGATTACAGGCGTGAGCCACCGCGCCCGGCCCCCTTGTCCTACCTCTTACATCCAATACATTGGTAAGTTGTTTTGGCTGTCTCATCTCCAAAATACATCCTGAATCTGACCATCCCACTCTTGACACCTTACTACATTTTCCATAGCCTTGCAAATTTTTCAAGGTGTCTTTTAACCTTGAGTCCCTTAGGACTGCCACAGTTTCTTATATTTTCAACTGGTGCCTTGGGGAATACTCATAAGAAGAAAGTTGTGAAGGGAGAGAACAGGATCAGATGCTTTTGCACGTCAGTCTTGTGTTTTTCTCTTCCAATCACTGTTTAATGCTGAGATTTGGAAAAGATGTGTGAGGAGAGTTAATGAAGCCAGGTTAGAATATCTGGCTGAATTCTAACGTGTTTTGACAGGATGTTAAACTACTAGGAAACATAGGATATATGTGGGCATTTCCCCCATTGCAATGCTCTCAATTTGAGGGCTACAAATAGATATGGTAGTGCCAAGAGTCAATAGTAAGTATCTGAATTAGGGTTCTCCAAAGAAAAAGAACAAATAAGATATGTAGAGAAAGATTTATTTCAAGGAATTGACTGGTGATTGTGGAGACTGACAAGTTCAAAATCTACAGGGTGGGCCAATACACCAGAGACCCAAGGAAGAGCTGATGTTTCAAGTACAAAGGCAATTCTGCTGGTAGAATTCTCCCTTCACCTGTTGGATGAGGCGCATCCACATTATGGAGAATAATCTGTTTTACTCAAAGTCTACTGCTAATTGCATGTAGAAAATACCTTCACAGCAACATAGACTACTGTTTGATCAAATGCCTGGGTACCATGGCCTAGCCAAATTTGACACATAAAATTAACTATCACAGTATCCTTAAAACTAAATTCCAAAAGCTGGGTGTGGTGGCCCACAGCTGTAAACCTAACACTTTGGGAGGCCAAGGTGGGTGGGTCGCTTGAGGCCAGGAGTTCAATACCAGCCTGGGCAACATGGCAAAACTCCATCTCTGTGAAAAAATACAAAAATTAGCTGGGTGTCATGGCGCATGCCCATATTCCCAGCTAATTGGGGGGCTGAGGCAGGAGGATTGCTTAAACCTCAGGAGGTTAAGGCTACAGTGAGCTGAGATTGTGCCACTGCACTCCAGCCTGGGTGACAAAGTGAGAACTTGTCTCAAAAAAAAAAAAAATTTCAAAAGAAACTCAACTTCAAAATATAAAGTCATAAATTCAGTATGTAGAAATTATAAATATTTTATTAATTTATCTTGTAAAGGGGATGTAGCACGTGATGTATTTGGAAGAAGAATTAATACTTTATAAGGCTTGTGATGCCCCTTATATTCAGCTGTGATAACCAACATTAGTATATGTTTGTTTTCACACTTTGCGAGGAGGCATCATCCCAATTTTACAAATACACAAGAGACTCATCACTGACCAACCTGTGACTGGGTGCAGTGGCTCATGCCTGTAAACCCAATGGTTTGGGAGGCTGAGGCGGGTGGATCACTTGAGCACAGCTGGAGACCAGCCTAGGCAACATGGCAAAACCCCGTCTCTGCAAAAAATACAAAAATTAGATGAACGTGGTGGCTGGCTCACGCCTGTAGTCCCAGCTATTTGCAGGGCTAAGGCAAGAAGATCGCTTGAGCCCGGGAAATTGAGGCTGCAATGAGCTGTGATCGCACCACTGCACTTCAGCCTAGGTGACACAGTGAGACGCTGTCTCAAAAACAAAAACAGTGACCAACCTACGACCCAAGCAACCGCAATGTTTGTGACTGTGGACTCTGTTGTTAATTCCGTCACAGTTGGTTATCTTAGAGATCAAAGAATACTTGGAAAGTTAACATGGAAATGATTCCTTCCATATATGTATTATATAATTTAAAAAGTTTCAGATTATGAGAATGTTAAATGAAGTAAAGTTGTTAAGTCATTGGAAGTTAATGGATTTGGTTTAGCATAGAGAGAAAGGATGCTTTTAAAGTGAATAGAAAAAATAAAGACAAATAATTTACAATCAGTTAAGGACTAAAACAGGAAGAGTCTGAAAAGTGGATGCTGAAACAGGAGGAGTATCCTCTCAGGAAGCACTTTCCTTCCTTCCTCTCCTTTCCACCAACATTTGTTCCACGGCTTCCTCTCTTCAAACCACACCTTGTAAACCCTTTTATGTGCTCTGTTCACAACAAGAAGAATTTCATGTGCTGTTCCATACTGGGTTTTAACTGATAAAATGCACACACACACAAAAGGCCAAATGCCTTTTTACACAGGAGATTAACTTTATTCAGTCTTTAAGCTGAAAGCAAGTACAGTTAGGATATATAGCAGGCGACAGTTTCCATATGTTCTAGGAAAGTGGAGCTGTATTATTTATAGTTTACAACATGTTGTATAAAATTAAAGCTAGCAAGGGGGCTCCTAGGGAGGTAAATTAAACAAAGAAGGGAAGACTTAGAGAACTCTATTTTGCTATAATCAGAGAACATGCCTATAAGATAGCACTAAAAAAATATTTAACATTAAGCAATATGCAAAAGTAGTTGGGGTGTTTACAATAGCTTAAATTCTAAAATTAAAAAGGACATTGAAGACTGAGAAGGGGAAAAATACCTTAATTATGTAATCTTAATAGACAATGTTTCATAAAAGCAAGAGTAAATAAATGTAATCAAAAAGGTGTATCTTCCAAAGTGCAAAGACACGTTACAAGAAATCAGGTTGCTCTTTGACCCACCAGTCTCAAAGCACATTAGACTGCAGCAAGTAATAATTGCTTCCTCATTTAGATTAGACAATGAGTGCTCTCTGCAAGCTGCTCTCCTCTAAATAGATTGTAGAGAGTAATTGAAACAAGTTATACGGGGAAGTGGAGTGACCGATTCCTCAAAGTGTGGGAGCAGAGCTATGGTAACCTCTTGAGCCTGGCCTTCATCCTGTTCCTATTTAGGGAATCCGCGGGACAGCCACTGTTGAGTGCAGTCTGCAGTTCGCCAGCTTTATTGTTCAGACTTGAAGGGAAGGTCACATGCCCTCTTTGACAGAGAGGTTTATGGGCTCTCTCTAATTAGCAGCACCCTCCACCAGACAGACTGTTGGCCACTTTCCAAGAACGGGGCTTGGTAGCGGCCACTGATGAAGGAGAAAACAAGGTTATTTACCCTGCGACTGTAATTCTTGGCACAAGTTCTCCCTTTACACTCAGACACGTTTTTCTTTTGTTCCAACTTGCCTTTGGAATTCTGATTAGGGCGTTAAGGGAGGGTAATGCAGCTATATATTTAGTGGTGTAAGCAACCCATATGTTGGCCTCAGATACTTTTTACTATTCTAAGATCTCATACCAAAAGAGAGAAAGAAAAAGGAAAACGAAAAGGGCAGCGTAGTCGAGCGTTGCTTGCAAATGTAACTGCTTAAGCACATGCCCACACACAACCCCAGAAAAGGAAGTTTAATTTGCAACATCTATAAAATAACGACAGTTGTATGGTAGGACACAGAAATCCCAGCGGTAAAGTGTGATTGGGCTCAGCTATTATAGGAGTGTTAAAAGAGTACCGGGAATATATTTGGCTTGTCCTGTTCTGTCGCTTCTGCAGGCCGGTGGATTAAGCTGATAGAAATGCTTTTTGGTTGATTTAAACCAGATGCTCCGACTATTTTTGTCCCGTTTGCAGGCGCAGAAGTTCTGCATAAGGCAATACTGCCCCCCTCGGCCGTCCGCCAACTGCAAGGCGTAGGAGCCTGGTCTCCACTAGCCACCTCGGCCATAAAACCCTTTCAAGTCCCTATTATTATTCCAGGCACATTCCAAGGGGATTGAGTCACAGAGTTCACTTGGCTTTTCTCGTGCCCTGAACTGCCTGTACCAGGTGGAATACGACTCTCAACTTCAAATATGGAATCCAAAAGCGGTCAAAGAGCGCTTTAGAGCAAGCCCCAGATGCGAACTCTACCGCCACTTCTCCCCCTCCCCCACCTGGGGTTTGCTGGCTACGCAGCTGTGGTCCCACGCCAGCACTAA